TTTAATYGGACAATTCCAAACAATAATTAAATTTCACCTCATCACGTTAAGGTATGAACTGAAGGGTAACTAATAAAGTCATCCACATGTGCAGATGACGCCCAAGAACACACCACAGATTGGCAGGAATCTGGCCAGGAATCAAAGCCCATCTGAACTGCACCCAACTCTCCACACCCCAGTGTGAGCCAGGGACAAGTGACAGGACCAGCCCCTCTGTCCCAGGCACCAGCCATGGGCAAGCCCCAGCAGTCCAACCCCGCTCCACACCACCTTCTCAGGCACAGAAAAACACCCTTCAAAGTCAATCCACATTTCTTTGTAGTAAATCACCGGGGACTCAGATTACAAACAAACTCTACCCAAATCCAGCCAGATTTTTTTTTTTTGACATGAGAGTGGAAAAAACATGAACTTACTAAGAAGCTGATTAGTAAGTTTTTGTGATAACTGCCTATCATCATTGAAACCTCCAACTAGGTGCACTTCCAGCCTAACAGAGATGGAATAACAGGAAACAGCAATTAAAAAGACAGCTCAAAATGAATAGCTTTACAAAATAATCCCCAGCCCAAATTGCAAAGCAATCATTAGAGAARCCTCACTTATTACAGTCACATGCACCAAGCTGGTTTGCATCACAAAGCAAGTTACAGTAAATCCAGTCTGAAAACTTCAGAGATCAACCCAGGAAATGGCAGAGGAAAAAGCTTGAAGAGGCATTAAATAYATGCAATTCTATCCCAGGGATATCTCTGATGGTCAGCACCTCTGGTTTGGATTGAACTTTGTAATCACCTTTCAGTTCCAACAAAGGGTTAATTAAGCAAAGATTTTTGCTCCATGACCTCCTCAMAATTATTCTGGATCATGCAGCAGGGTTCTTTCCAAGCAGTGTCTATGTAAAGACAAGTCCTTACAAATCATGAATTTAAGTTCATGAGTTAGCTTTTGCCCTTAACAAACCACAGAGGCAAAAAACTCCACATCCAGAAAGAGGCTTGTCTGCTAAATTATGTTTTAGAGATCTTTACCCACTGTCCTGTCCCACACACCCTTTYTAATTTTCTTTTTTTAAGTGGACTTAGAAAAATCCCTGATGGATTGTCAGATGCAGAAAAGAATTTACAAATCAAACATTCTGAAAGGAAAAATATAATATAAACCAAAAACCAGTTATATGAAAAATTTTGCAAATCTGAAACAGAAGTTAAATGGGAAACACAAATCTCATGGTGGCATTTTACAGAGACACTCTTCAGAACAGAACCATGCTTTAAATAACTTCTAAAAATGCCCCCAAAATCATCATCAAGGAATCACTATCACTTGCCATGCGGCTGCTGATCAAGAGGGATTTCCTGCACAGTTCCCTTGGCTGAAGCCCCCACAATCACCTCCCCACTGCCCCCGGTGCGAGCTGCAGCRACCTTGGAGAGGAGCAGAGCACAAGAAAGGAGCAGAGCTGACCTGCCACAGCCTGTGGTGGTAGAGAAGGACTTTACTGAGCTCATGATGAGCGACACCTCGGCCTCCGTGTCCGAGCCGTCGCAGTGTGTCAGGCACGTGGCTCCGCTGCCTGGGGAGGGCACAGAACAGGGACTCAGTGACTGTGACCATCAGTGAGAGCCCCCACGGCTGCAGCACGGAGCTGCCCCCAGCACTGCCCAATGCCCAGGGGACAGTGGCCTCAGCACTGGACACGGCTCAGGGGCTTGGGAACAACCTCTGGGTGTGCCCACTATAAAACCAGCACCACTCACGTCAGGGGTACAAGCGCCCTCTCAACAGCACCAGGCAGTGTCTCCAAGGGCAGAAATCCAGGCACACAGTGAGGTTCTCTCCACAAATTCTACCTCTACACAGCCCAGGGCTGCAATGCCACTGCCACTGGTCACCTGTGCAGAGCAAGGTAAACTCTGCTCACAGAGCAAATCCAGGCACACAGTGAGGTTCTCTCCACAAATTCTACCTCTACACAGCCCAGGGCTGCAATGCCACTGCCACTGGTCACCTGTGCAGAGCAAGGTAAACTCTGCTCACAGAGCAATGAGAACCCTGAACCTCTCATACACCAGCTCTCTAAAGCAGCCTTTAATTAACACATTATGTGACTTTTGGGGATTCAGGTTTATASTAATGTAACTGTGGTTTATTTTATCAATGCCACATAAACCAGTACTAATTCCTTACTTCATGGGTACAGGCTTTGCTCTGAACGTCCTTTAGAGATACCTGTGTGTCGGAGYACAACTATGTGGCAGGTAGTGGCATCATCTGATCCCAGAATGGAAACAGAACCTATTTCAAAGGAGGAAAACACTGTAAGAACTCAGCTCTCACAATCACTGCTTCAGTACAAGAAGAAATGTTTATGTTCCTACACACCATCTTTAGGGGTGGTCACTGCAAAYTCTCTCTGCTGGACATAGAGAAGGCCTTTGGGTTCCACAATCTGAGCAGGCTGACTTCTGAGAAGTTTTGCCTTTTCCTAAAGATAAATGATAACAGATACTACAGTGGCTGAATTCTCAGGTGTATCCATTACTTCACAGAAACATCACCTCTGAAAAGCAAAGGGACTGAGGTCAGAGAGAAACACATGTGTTTTTTATTACAGAGTATTCTGAATTATTGAAAGTTTCTTCTTTCCTGACACTGATCAAGTTAATAGTTAAATCCCATCTTTTCAGAGATGCACAAAACACCTTTTCCTGTTTTATGGACCCTAAAATGGAGGATAAAAAACATTTTACTGGACAAAGTTTACATTAGATAATACCAGAASTGATCAAACAAGTTTAATCAGAACAGGAAACTTTTGATATACAGGAGTGTCAGTGTTCTACTGCCATAATCCAGAATATTTATTTAGCACGTATCAAAATATTGCTGTTTATTAGCTTGATTGGTGCATGGAAAACCCGGATTCCTGGGCTGTGACTATTGCAGTGCTTTATCACAGACCTGCTGGGGACGAAATGAATTTCCATTCTGGGCTCAAAAAACACTTCACAGCTTTATCAAATTTGCCCTGGTTTTCTGCATAATCTCAGGGTCTCTAAAGAAACACCTTCGGATGGAAAACACCTCCCCAGGCAGCTCTGCTCACATTCCTGGCTCGCACTCCGCTGTCAAGATTATAACATTTAAACTGCAAGCAAGGTCAACACCTTCCTTAGAGAGAGGCCAGTTTGGCTTTTATGGCCAGTTTTGGCTATTTGGCGCAGAACATGCCCGCTTGGCCCTGCCGGGGCACCCCACCCCTGGCCGCACCCTCACCGTGAGCCGCTCCGCGGACACAGGTCATTTCTGTTCCACCACGGCGCGGTTTATCCGCTGTCCCAGCGCGGGGAACGCGGGCTGGGAGCCACCCCTGTCCCGGGGCCGCTGCAGCCCGAGGCCGCCCCGCTCCGCCACCGCCCCGCCCGGCCGTGACCGCGGCTTCTCCCGGGCACCCCGGACAGGCCCCCGCCCGCTTCCCTCACCTCGAGGTGCGGGTGGGCGCGGATCATGTCCCCCGTGGGCCGGGCCAGGTCCACCCGCGCTCCGTTAACCAGCAGCGGCATCGCGGCGAGCGCCGGGCCCGGGCCCGAGGCGGCTCCGCGCTCCCTCCTCAGGCCGCGCCGGGCCGGGCCGGGCGGAGCCGCGCGGGGCGCTGGGAAAGCGGCTGAGGGCTGAGGGCACGGCACCGCCCGCGGCTGGGCTGGGAACGGGAATCGGGTAAACGGGGAACGGGGCTGGGAACGGGAACCAGGAACCGGCCGGGAACGGGGCCGGGAACGGGAACCGGGAAACGGCCGGGAACGGGCACCGGGAAACTCCGCTGGCAGCGGGGCTGGGGCCGGAGGAAACTCGGCGGGACTGACAGAATCATGGCTGGGCACGGCGGCCCCGCCTGAGGGCTTTAACCGGTAACTGCAGAAATCGCCCCCTCCCGCCACTGCGGGGCTATCCGTAAGTTGTSGTATGAMAYAGTTTTGGAATATCAGTCATAAAGYCACAAATTTACGAATCWCTGGATGAATTAGGTTGGAAAAGACCTCTGAGATCATCRAGCCCAATCTSTATCTGAACASTAYGGTGTCAASCGTACCAYGGCATTGASTGCCACGTCCATCACCCTCAGGGATGGTGACTCCACAGCTCCCTGAGCGRGCCAATTCCAATGTCTAATCATCCTTTCTGTGAAGAAATRATTCCTRATGTCCAACCTAAACCTCCCCCAGCACAGTTAAAGACTATCTCCCCTTGTCCTAGCACTGGGTGCCAGGGAGAAGAGGCCAATCCCCAYACCACCATCCTCTACCCCAGCAAACACAAGAGAGATTTTTCAGACAATCCCAAGGATGACAGTTTTTCCTTAAAGACCAGGTTTTTTTTCCTCCTATTGTGTGTTGAGAACACTAAGAAAAATAAGCACGGTAGCAGCAGCGTAATTCACCCGCAGGGAATGTGGGCAGCCAGACACCTGGACTGTCCACAGCCCACAGACAGTAAATGCTCAGGACCCCTTTCCATCCATCTTCACACAATAAACTGTCCCTGGAAGTGTTCAGGCCAGGCTGCATTGGGCTCTGAGCAAACTGGTCTAGTGGAAGGTGACCATGACAATGACAGCGTGGCTGGAACTAGGTGATCTCTAAGGTCCCTTYCMACCCWGGCCRTTCYATGACTTYATGATTCTGTGGCAGAATAAASGCTTTCTTCAAAAGATACATTGCATWTCTCCGGTGAGACAAAACTGCAGCTCAGGATGAGCATTCCTCTCCCAGCTGTTGGTACAAAGTMTCTTTAGCAAAACACCAACACCTGCCAGCACACCTGCCTGCAATTTCACTGAACAAACCTGCTGTCATAGCACAGGTTCCAGAAACACTTAAACAAGTTAAAGCTGTTCAGCTGCAGTACAGACCATTCAGTGTCTGCACATTACACTTACAGGGTTTTTTTTTGTGCTTTTAATGAGACGTGGAAGCTCCTGAATCACATACCTGGGGAAATTTATTGGAGTCTCATTTTGGAAAAAGTGTATGAAAGACATCTTTCAAAGGATGTTTTCCTTGCTGTTGATCKGAGAAGGGGTTTCCCGTGCCAGCAGAAAATGCAATTATTTGAGATGGAAATCTATTGTTTATTACTCAGGACTCACAATAAAGAGGACTACAATTAAAACCAAAACCTCTCCGTTTGTACAATGATGAACAGGTCCACTGATGTACTTTGCAATGTTATCCCCAAAATTCAATTCTGCAGTCTGTCAGAATGAATACCCCAACTTTGAAATGTCAGACTACACAGAGGGCACCTCAGTTTCATACAGAAACGTGGCTTTCTCAAAGATGTCTGAATTGCACTTCTTGCATCAAACTTTATTGGTTCCAAATAAAAATGTCTCAAAAGCCTCCAAGTTCAGATTCTAAAGAAGGGTAATTAGAGTTTAGTCCCAAAGGCATAAAGTTTTAAACTAAATGGTACACAAATAACTTTTTTTCCCCCCCATTGTTCATATTCTTACTCAAATCTAAAAGCCAGCAACGATGAAAAGACAAGAAACCTCTGTAGAGAAACTCTACACTGACTGACAGACACATGGACAACACAAGGACACCACTGACACCATYACTTCCTTTCCACAAGGGAAGATTTTTTTTTTTTCTATTTTCAGCATTCACATATAAACTTCAAATCCTGCAAATAAATACCAGAGTGCTTCACAAGTCTCAGAGTGCTTCACAAGCACCCTAAAGAAAACTAYCTATAAATAATACATTCAGCTACTCCCTCATTTTCAACACTTCCAACAACCAYCACTTTTGCATGTCTGAGCTTTCATAGCTGGAAAAGGTGTGGCAGCTACAGATTTAGGGAGGAATAATGCTTTCAKTCTGATTACATGTCCCACTTGGCTTCACCAAGAACTGTTCTATAGGCAGGGAAAGCTGAAGAGATGTGTGTAAGAACCACTGTCAGACTGGAGTCACACCCTGCCTATTGAGAGATTACACAATTAACTTTGAAACCAACTCAAGAAGAGTCATCAGCCAGAATACTGACAGTGGAATTGTGGCCCTCATACAAATCTGCAGGAACAAACACCAGAATTTTACTTCTGCTATATAAAACCTTGTAGAGAAATATTAGTAAACAAAATTTTGAAGAGTCAGAAAAAAAACTGTAAAAAAATCCTTCTAAGTCATAAAAACCATTTCAATGTGAAATTTGTAAAATATCACCCTATTTATTCTCTAAACTTTTCTAGCAACATGTGACTTTAACATATCTGTAGAAATCTGATGACTAAGAAACAGTAATTTTTCTTAAATGTAATTATTTAAACATTTGTCAGTTTGGAAAGTGAAGCTCAAGTCTCTTTCCACAGCAAAACATTGCACACAATTTTCAACCTTTTCCCTTCTGGTTGTCACAGTGGGTACGGYACATAACAGTCTGCAGGGGAGCCAATGCTGCTCACGGGGCTCCGCGTGTTGGACTCGTAAGAATTCGGAGCAATTTCAACCACACTATCATTCTGAGGAGTTTCTCCTTTCAGAAAGTCATCATCTTCATCTTCAGAAGAACCCTGCAAGAATTTGAAAGGATCAGTGAGAGCAGGAAGACACTGTCAAATTTTAAYAGAGACCCGGATTTACACTACAATTGTGGCCAGTTGGAATGGTAAGAGAATTAGAYGTACTCTCATTATGAAATATGGGAACTAAATTACATGTGCAGGGTGGATTTCTCAGTAACATCATCATGTCCATTTTCTGAGCACMTTCAYAAAGCTTTCAAGGGGCTCCTGTGCWGCAGAAGAGGAMAAAGTGCTCYCAAGGCAAGAATAGATTCAATTCCTAAAGCTTCTAAATTTCAGTCACAGTTTTCTCTAAACATATCGTGTACTCTTATCTACTTTAAGCAATACCCTGTAATAAAAAGATGACAGATGACAGACAAAATGTGGATCAGGAAAGATCACCTTTTTAATGGGTTTCTTCAGGTTCTCAAGATCTTCAGCACTCAGCTCTTCCCAGAACTGATACATAGGATCAATGGTCTTCTTTGATCTGAGAGAGGAAACAAAGCACAGAATGAGTTATTGTATTCACAGYAGGGGTACATTTTAATTTAAACCTTTGAAAACCTCTGGTTAAAATACAGAACATGAAAGGTGCTAAGGTGCAAGGAGAAAAGTGAACAGCAGAAACACTGACAGTTTCCTACAGGTTTTAATCATTATTTTCTAGAAGGCACAAAGGAGTTGTTTACTTTTCAACTCTACCTTTTGAGTATGTAGGGGTCAAAGGGGAAGAAGCTGTCGAGGGGGTTGGTGCAGGTCTGCACCAGGTCCCCCCCTGTGCCGCTCCGCACAACGGGGATGAACTGCCTGTTGTTCCTCTCAATAATCGTGTAGCAGAACACCAACTGGTATTTCCTTTAACAAATGGAATAAAGAAGAGATAAACACTTCTAGTACACCCAAAGCAAAAATTTCAGATGGATGGCATAAAATACAAAGTCATTTCTTAACAAATACAAYTTCTATCTTCCATTTTCCAGCTGATATTAGGAGTTCACAAGATAGGTAAGGAGTCTGCTCTCTTCCTCTAAGCTTCCATAAACTTTATTCCAAGTACAATCACACTGGCTCCAACACAAAGCAATCATCAGGATTTCCCTGAAACTGAACTAGGAATAAACATCACATTTCCCTGAAACTGAACTAGGAATATGGGCAGTGTTATGTCTCAGAAAACATTCAATACTGTGCCTAACAAAATACATCTTTTAAGCACTGTGCTGGTTTTAGAAACACACAAAATCTGTACCAAGCTGCAACTGGAATAAGTGAGTGGGTACCTGGTAATGGCAGCAAACAAGTTGACAACAGATGGGATACAGATCTTCAGTGGGTTTAGCTGACACATGACAATGCGCTCAAAATTTAAACTCTGYAGGTATGCCAGACCTTTAAAATAAGAACAATTGGTGAATACAGGGTCGATATCATGTAAGTTGAACTTAATTTCTGAGAATTTCCAGTGTGACAAGCCTGAACTCTGCACATCACCACAGAAGCACATCCTAGGGCACTCTCACAGTGGAGGTCTGGCCCAAATGTGTACAAGCTGCCTCATTTTATTTAGAGAACMACATCAACTTGCCATCAGATACTGGACTGAATTGACCAATACAAAACATAGCAACAGTAAAACCTCTAATGAATCCTTTCAAATCGAATRCACTCACCTTTCCTTAAATTTCCATCCAGAAGTTGTTTATGACGGAAAATAAGCGTATAGAACACTGTCTGACAGGTAGAATAAAATGGCCCATGGAGAGCTACATCACAGTAAGCATTAGTTCCTGYATCCTGATTATCAATGTATTTATGCAACCAGTTCACCAGAAGGTCCAGACATGCTTTTACTGTACTGTAGTGACAGGAAAAAAAAGAAGTGTAAAAATAACACCTGAAATGGTGTGGAAAATATATTAAACAAACATTCAAGAATCTTCGTTTTTATAAAAAGATCAGTAAAAAAATCTCTTTGTAAAAAAAAAGATTCTGTTATGAGCTTTCTCCTTTATCTAAGCATAAAATGAATCAATCAGCACTCCCAAACAGTGAAGGCACAAGATGCCAGAAGACACTGAACCAGTATTGTTGAAGKCTCTTGATTCAGGCTTACTGGCAAAGCAGTGGGAATAGAAGACCAATTCTATACTTAAGCTCCACAACAGCATGAATTGTTTGGTTCTGCTCATGTATGAAAACAACTTACACAATGGGAATAAATTTAGCTCTTGCCAAGAAGCTGCCAATGTAACTCCCAGCAGTCTGCCTGATGACTGAAGGATTGTTTGGATCCTGCAGTTTCTTCCAAAGATGGTCTAAAAATGCTTCAGCCAACCCCTGGAAAAAAGATACATAGAAATTGTGAGTTGTTATACTGATGACAGTATTTATGTGACAGATTCTTCATACTCAATTGCCACTAATTTCTATAACCAAACCATTAAAAAAATCTACCTATAACTACAGTTAATAACTATCCTTACACATGATGGAAGAGTATTCATTTCTGTGTCTTTTTCTATACTTAGTTGTAAAAGAAAGAACAACAKTTTGTTGGGAGAGATGGGAAAATGGAGGGGTGGGGGAACAACAAACAGCAGGCACGATTTTCAAATCAAAGAGCAAACAGACAGCATCTTTAGGATAGTTTTGGGATGCTGAAGAAACTTGCATCCCATGTCTTGAGTAAAAGAGTCCAACTGATTTTTGTAGAAGAGAACTGTTTTGATAAGATTCCATCTGTAATTGGTTTATCAGCAACATGGGAAGAGAAGCCACAAAGAAAAAGAAAGGAATAATAGAAAGAAAACAAAGATACGAATGAATCCTGATGTAATTGCTATCTTCAGAGTAGAATTACAGCAAAGAACAACTGTTTTGTAAAAAGAACCAAAACAAGGATGCAGAAATGACAGAGGACACTGCATTGTAAAACCAGCTTTTACTCACCAATTTAAAGCTGCAGATGTAAAACATGAAATACTGTACGTGACATGAAGCATGGGTTGGTAAAATGAGCTTGTCAAAAACAGAAACCAGATCCCGATACAAATGCTTTGTGTTGCTGATGTCAAGCTTGCCTACACAAGAAACAGAAAAAATGAGCCATTTCAGGGGTYTTTTTCCTGACCTCGTGCTGTAGAAATGGTATTTATATCTTTCCACACCAGTAAGAAATATATAAAGAAATACTGTCAAACTGACTTCTCAGTTTATCTGACATCTAAAAATCCAAGTGTTCAGTTCTACTGCTTTTTAAGGTGGTGCAAATGAAGAATCTCTGTGTGAGTGTGTACACAAATAAAGCTGCTAGACATGCAAACTTTGCAATAATGTGTTAGATCAGAAAAGCAACAAAAAAACACTAAGAAATAAATCACCTGACTTATGTGGAGCAGATACAGCATAATGGTTTCTAAATACTGTTTAAAATATATAAATCYAAGGAATTCAAATCCTTAATACATAACCATGAAAGATATTTCTTTCTTTTTGTTTTTTCCTGTAACAAAGCAAATTGATTGATGTGTCTGGTTGTTTTGATCTATTTCCAGTCCTTGTGATGTTGAAAGGATCCATAATTCTAACAGTCARGTAGAGCAAATGATAAAAATATTTATACCTAAGTTTGGATACAGTATCCCATTAATGGATCAGAATGTTTCCATCTGAAGATTAAACCTAACTGTATCTCTCCCAATAGCTGGGCAGAGGCAGGAGTGTGGACTATGGTCTGCTGATGGCAGAGTTCTGCTCTGTCTTGCAGCAGCAGAAAGCAAGAACTTCTCTTAGGTGTTTCTTACTTGTTAGCAAAACAACCAGTTTGGTTATTGCAAGTGTCCTCACCATCCACGTGGCAAACATCTTTAATATATGAAAACAGGATGGTCATCAGGATGTCCAGGCGCTCTGCAAGTGGATGGGCCATTCTCTCACTACTGGGAGAGACACYTTTGCTTCCTTTTCTGTCTTCATCTTCCTCCTGGTAGATAAAATGGCACATGCAGCTTTAAATACACAAATCACAGAGAYGGCAATTACAGGAAAAGTGAAACTAAATTTATTTTTCAGCAATATGTTAAAGTTTCTTTTCTTTTTTTAAGCAAAGCAGTATCTCATTATACAGTATAAGCAAGTTTTTGCAAACTAAGCCAAGTGCCAGGAATTTTTTAACCASCTTTATTGCACAGCTGCTTGTGTTTTTCCATAATGAAATTGATTTGCTGGATGTACACTGGGTGTTCACATGAATAAAGTCAATAYCTGAGCACATATTAATCATTTGTCAGCTGTTCAGGTTTCAAGAGCTGCGTGCAGTGCAATAACAAAGCAGTAATTAATTCCTACGCTTAGTTCACAGCGACATCAGAAGTCATAATTTTACTAAAAGAAAATTTTAATGGAACAAGATAGCCAACCATGTCAAAAAGTCCCTCCTCTGTAGATTTTTCCTCGCTAGCACCGTTATTAGCAGTTTCTTCAGCATCTTCAATTTCTTGCTGTGGAGTGCTAACCTACAGTTGCAAACAAGAAATTAACTTTTATAAAACCATGACAATAATATGGAATCGGGGGTTTTATTATTTATATAAAAGACATGACAACATGAGTAAGATCTTGACTAGATTTTGCTGCAACTAAATAAATATTTTACAAGGGAATGATGTGCCATATGTGAATGCATACAACTTTCTGAAAGTTTACCTCCCCAAGACAAGCTCTCCCCAGACAGTTACAAAGTGAGGCAAAAAGCTGTGATCATATACWGTGCTCCCCTTCCTGTCTTCTTTTAGGACTGTAAATCCTTTTACTTCAAAGAGATGACACGACCAGTCAAGCACACAAAGGGAAGCACATTCTCTGCACATTAGCGCTGATCACCACAAAACAATTATTTGGATTCTGGCAGAGATYCCATGCAGAGTGCAACAGTGCAGTTACCCTCAGATATGGGAACATCTTAAGTCTGGGAATGGAGTGTAAATTTGGCTGAGTTTATACTCATGATCACAAGCATATTTTTTTGTCAAGCCTAAAACTGAAACGTATTTAATTTCCTACTCTGTGTATTTTAACACCAACCTTCCATAAAAGATAACACAGAATAAACTTACATCCAACTTCAACAGTTTTTCAACAATAAGCTCCAGAATTTGAAGCCTCAGAGTAGGAAGGTACACTGTAACTCGCAGCAGGTTGTGGACATAACATTCCTACAATACAAAATCAATTGGTATCTATAATAATGCTAACAGAAAGTCAAATTTCTGCAAAAGACTTCTAGAAAACAAGTTTCTTAATTCGTTATCTAAAGACCCAGAAGTAGGTTTAAACAGACTGTGTTTAATGTAGAATAAGTTAATATATAAACTAAACCTTAACTTTCAATAGTTAAGCTGTGTTACCATTAACTACTTAATCTACTTTTACCAYGAAAATTTTCCCCACAACCCCTCGACAGAGTGTAAAGATTCTATAAGAAAAGTTACTCATTTCCATAGGAGGTTATGTGTAAAGTGTCTTTAGGGAAATGAAGCATATGCCTCACTGTAACCAGAACCAGCTATAGTAGAACTGCTTGAGATGAGACCAATGCATCTTTATTTCAGATTGCAATAATATACCAGCAACAATTCTAAACTGCACAACTGTGCCTCCTCAGACATTCTGATTAGAAATCAAGCAGTTTAACAGACAAGTTTTGTAAGCACGCATGGGCCCACCCATGCGTACACAGATATATACAAATGACAATGCTACAGCTTTCACAAAGCAAAACTGTCAAGTCAGTGCATTAAAATCAAGTGAAGTGCCACATTTAAGTATACCATAGTCTATTTGTGAATATGCATTATAACACAACCTTTAATTACATGAGCACATATGATTTTTCCACAGGTTTGGTCAGTACATAAAATGCATAGAGATAGTTTAATGAGAAGGTATAAATAGGAAATATCGAACAATGCATGGTCCACATTTTATTGCACTTCATTTAAGCCTTGCTCTGGAAACAGATATGTATTTCTTCACAACTTGTTCCTCACCAAGCTATTAAATAAGTAAGTAAAACTCCTAACACCATGTAAGAGTTATTACCTCCCCATTTTACAGATAAGGAGATGGTGCTTAAAGTTACTTGGATTAAGAYAACAACAACAAAAAACCCAAAMATTTTAAAAAATTTGCAAGATATATAAAGAACTTTAGAGATTTTTCAGCACTTGATTGAGTTCGAAACACAGCTTCAGCTGAACTTGGCTGGAGGAGCAGAGCCTGCCTTTCTGTAATATAATATAAAGTGCCAACATATCAAGTTGGAACAAGTAAATATAAAGATCAAACAAGAGCCATAACCTGTCAAAAGTTTCCAGTTTGTTTTTCAGCATATGAACACTACACCAAAGCTGTAATGAAACAGCTTAGGGCTTTACATTACTGGCRATTCGGATTTCACCTATAACATCCGTTGTTTCTTGTTTGCTTATCAAATCCCCTGTTCCTCTGACAAATACRTTTCAGGTTTGATAACAAACAAGACAGGGATCCTACCGTCTCCTTASTACACAACCCTGAGATTCCTCGTCAAAGAGGTCCATGGTGTGCACTGATTAAAAAGCAATCCTGTGGAAAAGATATGCGGTGATGTCATTAAAGATGAGCACAATGCTCATGCCCAAGGAATTCAGCATGCTTGGACAGCCTTACACTAAACAGACACAACCCTATACATGGTTATTATACATGTAATTATTATATATATAACACCACTCTTCAAAAACCTGCATTGACTGCCATCAAATCTGTTGTAATACCATACAGTTCATTTACACAATTAGAAAAAAACAGGTGAACAAATCAACAAAAATATTCACAGCTCTTACCAGAGTTCTTTCTGATTTATTGATGAAAGGAAAGAAATCCACAAGTATCGGCATGAGGAACTGTGGTGTCCTATAATTAATTTTAAAAAAGAAAAAATCAGACCTAATATAGGTTTGCAAATATTGAACTCCAGCACTCTAAAGGTGTACTGGAATAAGCTTATTTCACAGTAACTTTAATKTAAGGTACGTAACCATATAAAATGTGGTTTGGCAAGGATCACCAAACAGATAAGTGTCAAACTTTCCAGTGCACTAGTTAGAAGCCACTTCAAAGATTACTGTAGAATACAGAAGAAAAGAGAAGCCACTGTTGACACCACTTTTCCTAATTCCCATTTCCATTAAGAGGATTTTCAGCCGCTGATGCCTACAGATATGTCATGTTTGTATAGAGCATTCCACCAGTTAGTGAATGCTAGGAAAAACCATGCAATGAGGCAAAGTTTTATATTTCCAATTAAGAGAGAAAAAAACACATCAGTTCACAAGCTTTAGATCTGCAAGTGCACATAAACCCAAGGGATTCGATACTCACGAAGGAACATATCTTGCAACAGTTTGCAGTGCTCTGTGGCAAGTATCRAAGTTTTCAGAAATGTCTAGAGGAAAAAAARGTATCTTACMTATTTGGTCACAGAAAACTAATTCAGGAATCAGTAAACATAGTTCGTGGGGACTACAYAATTGAAAGATTCACAAGGAAACTGCATTTGCCAGAAGCTTTTTTTGATGGGGGTGTAMATTGAGGTAAATGAAATGGAAACCAAACAACTCCTAACTTTTCTTTGGCTTTGAAACAACTTAGGAGTAGGAATGTTTTCCTGTGCATTCTATTCCTACAGACACTGCAACAACAGGAATATTTTGAAAGCAATAAGGAGTGGGTCAGCACACCATTGTTTTGAGTACAAGAAAGTCTTTGGCTTGGGAACTTAAGGATGTTTCTTGATGTTTTATTGAACTCAATTCTGCAAAAAAGGAGCAACATGCACTGTATAMTTTTTTAGCAAAGGCACTACAGCAGCATATATAAGCCATGCTTCCTTTATACTCACTCTCATCATCATCATCAGAATCTGATATATCCACATCATCTTCTCTGATGGTTATTCGAGCTAACAAAAAGTGAGATTATTATATCAAAATTGTATAAATCTTATAGGTAACAAATTCAATAGCAAACACGCTGGGTAACAGTCTTCACCAGGACTAAAGCATCAAAATTAGCCACAAGACTTTCTTAAAAACCGTTTTATTCACAGAGCCAGGAGGTTCTTGAGAACATCTGACATGATCCTCACTGCACTTTTGGCTTTTTAGTAGTAAAAATATTGAACAGTTCATCCGTTTTCAACACATCCTCAGAACAGGATCTGTATAAGCCACTAGACTACATCTTCTAAAATCCAGGTACAAAAARMCWTCTGTATCATAATCAACARGATGAAACCTAATAACCCAAAAATGTACTATGTTATGCAGTGTTTATACAGAATTCATCTATCTAGGGAAGATATTTAGAAGCAAGGAAGATTAAGAGAGAAGTAACCTACGGGGGACAAACTGTGACACGATCATCCGGAGGCATGGCCTGAGATGCACAGTTTGTGCTGACACCAGATTGCCAAGAAAGCTCAGATATTCTTCCACAACCTCTCGACTCCTTCTCAACCACGGCAGCTTCTAAAAGTAAGCAAAGATCAAGACGTCAAACAAGGATGTTTTGAGTACTAAACTCTTAATCTTCCCATGTAGTAAACAGATATTTACCAGCAAAATGCTGACCAGTTGTTCAAGCTCTTTGGTCAAATATACAACAGAAGATCGAAATTCATGCAGCCAATTAATGATCTGGGCATCCTTAAAATAAGCAGAAAAAATAGGTAATTATTCCAATAAACAGCATTACCTATTAGCAGAAAATAACAAAATCCTTACACGTCCAAGATTATGACTGCAACTACAATGTCTTCACATTAACATGAAAGGAATTTCTTAAATTTTGTGTCCTCAGCAATGAAAGTTCTTGAGTGCAGAATACATCCATATCAACTCTTAAACAAAGGCTTCACTCAGGCTGAGCAAGGCATGATACCTCACTCATACAAAACATAAAAGAACTTAAAAGAAATAACATTCCATCTCAATTTTCTTTTCTCTTTTGCTCCAGTTTAAGCAAAAGGAGAATGAAAGTCTTGAAATAACAAATGTGGTRGGTACTTGTAGATATACAAGAGAGCTGTGAGACAAATACTTCCAGGTATAACTACTAAACCCATATTCATATTACTACCTAATGAAACAAGATTCACTGAGAAGGTAAAATTCAATGCAACCTAAAGGCTCTGAAAGGCAGAACCCACAGTTTGATCTATGGAAGTGTTTCTATAATCAAGCATGAGTGACCTAAAAAGATGGTATCTGGAACAGACTCAAAGGGTACAGCAGAGTCAGAAAGCATAAGATACCATTTGTGAAGACACTGCATATATGCATGTGTATAAATGGACTTCTTTTCATTTAGTTTTAATTCTGACAGTTTCCACAAAGTAAAAAGCTGTTAAATACAATTAAACGTTTAAAGCAAAGAATTTGTGTATTTGCACCAAAATGACTTGTCTGATGACTACACTCAGACAGACAAATTTTAGATTATCAGACCCCCGACTATCAAAATCTTACCTTTATATCTGGATCTGACAGCTGATGTTTCAACAATTCAAAATCCGTGGTATCACCCTAGCAGGGGAAATAAAAATAAATAAATTACTTTTCAGTAAGAAGTACCAATTTMATCAACGTACCTGAACAACCAACTATTGCTGAACAGGTACATCAAGAACACRAGAGAGCCGGTTCAAAGACGGCTGAAGCAGCAGTAATAAGGTGCTGGCTCCTTTTCAGCTGCTCTCCCTGCAGACACAGCTGGATCCCTGTGCACACTTTGGCATAAGCCAGGCTTTACATCCACCCAGCCACTCACGTTGACTCACTTTTCCCTCGCATAGCAATACCGCCTGGCACAAGCCTACAGAACTCAACTGCCTGCAGTTTTTTTCCCTAAACCTTCAGAGACGGWCTTGCGTAAGACGAACGAGCCTTCTCACGGAATGACACCCAGGAGCCAGCAGCCCGGGCACAGCGCGGCCCCCGAAAAGCCGCAGTCACCTTTTCATACTTGAGCAGGATGTCGGCCAGGGTCCCCCCGAACCGCACCGTCTTCTTGGGCGGGGAGCTGATGAACTCGTCCGCTCCCAGCATGGTCGCGGCGCCTGCGGGGAGGGGAAACTGCGTGAGCACCGCTCAGAGGCCCCTCGGGCCCCTCCTCAGCACGGAGAGCCGCAGGAGCCGCTCTCCCCTCCCGAGGCTCCCCTCCCGAGGGTCGCCCCCGCTGTCCCCCCTTGCCTTGCAGTGGCGGCCGCCCCCCGCTATCGGGGCCCGCGGCGCCGCGCCCCGCGCCCGGCGMGTCCCTGCTGCCCGTGCCGCCACATGCCGCTCCGGCGGAAACTGCGCGGCCGGGCGGAAACAGCGCCAGCGGCCCGCCCCTCGCACACCGAGCTGCACCGCCGGGCGGACTGCGACTGAGCGGGGCGGGAACAGCGCCAGCGGCCCGCCCCTCGCACACCGAGCGGCACCGCCGAGCGGACTGCGACTGAGCGGGGCGGGAACAGCGCCGGGCAGCCCGCCCCTCGCACACTGAGCTGCACCGCCGGGCGGACTGCGACTGAGCGGGG